ATGCTCTCTTTAAAAATTGTATGACCAAGACCAAAAGTAAAGCTTAACTTGTGTGTGTTCTCCAAGCTCTGATGAAATCCACACCTCCTACCTCAGTGACTGGTAACAAATTTGAATATCCACTGTCAAGAAAACAAAAATAAGCCTAATTTGAATTTGTGAATGTTGTTCAACAATGTTCAAGAAAGCCTAAGGAGTGGGGAAAACTTGTTAGTTGTACTCACCAATTAACTTTTCTCTACTGCCAACAGCTGCACTTCTTTTTGTCTTTTTTTGTCATACATCCTACTACTTGCCTCATAAACAAGTGTGCACTGATGACCACACACACACACCTGCAGTGAAACACACAGGGGGGAGCACCTGTCACAGAAACTGCATCAGAATATCTGCACTGACGGAGATATTTACAGAGCATGTGCTAGTGTGGATGAAAATGTGTGTTTCTCTCTGTGGAGGAGGTTAAATGTTTTTTAACTTCAGATATTTTCCCCCCCGGGACCACTCCGGTGGAGGTCCAGCATTGTGCTCAGGGTGTTACTGTGTGTTTTCAGCAAGTTCAGAGAGGAAACCTTAAAACTTCAAGCTGCTGTTGATCTCCCTCGGGAGGCAAGGGGAGCCGAGGATGCATGTATTAGACACGCACACATATACACTAATACTAGTGTATACACACCCTATGCAGTGTAAAATACACACTCGTACCAACGTCATGCAACAGGGCTCTCAAATGCGCCCTCGTAAAGATCATGATCCAATCTCATAAACAAATATAAATATAAAGCTGTTCATTTACACTCTGTGAAATTTTTATGAAGTGAAAGAGTACTCATGTCATCTATTTACATCTTGGTGGACTACTGGTCTGTGACACACATGTCGAGAATTAATGTGCATCTTACTACTGTAAACTGCTTGATCCCAAATTATCGGTGGAGTTTGACGTAGCTGGACACTTCAGGAAAGTTAATACACACTGTATAAATTAGTTTCTGTTCTCAATAGAAACAAGCAGGTTCAAGGCGTCATAATGTAGTATTTACAGATAATATTAAGCTGCCCATCTGGTTTTGACTAAAGCAACACTTTTTGCAATAAAATCCATGATGTGATAAAGATCATGTTTACTCTCACTGCGCCAGGAGTATATACTCACTGAAGACAGTGTTGAAGTTGAAGCTGAGTCTTAGTGGTTTTGGACAGCGTGAAGTATTCATCTTACATTAAAAAAAAAAAAGACTTAAATCATTGCAGATATTTTAAAAATGAAACTGACATATGTGTTAGCCATTGGATGAGAATTATAGAATGAAATATGTAAGGTATGTCAGCTGCGAAATATTCCTACACAGATATAGAGCCTGCAGGGCCACAGGAGGAGCAATGTGTGGAGCACATTTACTATGTGAGGAATGGTATCAAATTCATTTCCATTCTTTGTGTGTGTAATCCCTGTTTCATAATTGTAAGTAAAGTGTAATTATCGTGTCCTGCATTTCAGCCATTTGCTGTAATTAAATGATTTCAGCTGGTTGACAAAATTAAGTTAAAGGTACCCTGTGGGGTTTTTGACAACCAGCAGCACTGTGGAGCAATGTTTCGATGAGTGGGTCCCCGCTTTGTTTGTAGCATGCACACACTTGAGGACCCACATGTGCGCTGGTGGGGGGGAGGGTTCACCTCATCCCTTTGTTTTCAAGCTGTTTTGCTGTCTGACAGTCGGTGGTGGTGACGCGGCAAACAAACAAGGCAATGCACCAACGAAGGTGTTAAAAAAGAAGAGGGCTAATGCACAAAACAAATCAGCTTCTGCAAAAGTTTCATGAGGAATGAAATGCATTTAACTCTCTACAGGGCGCATTTAAGCCATACATTTGTGTGGTGTAGAGACCACTCTTAAGAAAAGTACTGTAGTTTTAGTTTAGGAACAATCTATTGAGATAATGACAATACAGAACATCAATACTACAATGACAAAAGAAGAGAAGAATAACTTTTGAAACACTTAAATAATTTGTTGTAATGGTCCAAATTGTGCGTGTATATGTACAGTGTGTACATAATGCTTAGAGCAACTGATGTGAAACTGTGACTGTATAAACGACTAAGCTAAACTAAAAGAAATAGCCATTGCCTTGTGTATGATGCTGACATTGGTGTCTTGACACAGATGTCATTACTAACAAGGCAGCACTCAACATTCCTGATACAAAGTGATGCTGGTGATATGTGTGACATGTGGAAATGATGTCCAGTGTCTCTGTTTCTGGAATGTCATCACTCTCATGAGTCCAAGGCTAGTGACCTTAGACCCTTACAATGACAGCAGCGCACTGAGACCACAGATCAAGGAACCTACACTGAAACTGCTTATGTCAAACACAAGAACTCCAGCATTTGGAGACTGGATGTTAAACAGTAACCATAACAGTGCTCGTGTTGGACACTCAAGGTGATGGGTAAAAATGTTGACAAGATGTCATACAGTGGTTCAATGGCGGCCTGTGTGACATATCCAACTCAAGAATGATGGGCAAAGGCTGGAAGATGAAGGAGGAGAGGAAGGGAAAATGGGGCTTTCCTAGCCCCATCTCTGTTCCGCACTATGGGATGCAGAGCACAAGCGAGGAGAGGTTGACAGGACAGGAGAGAGAAAGGTTGGCATGTTGACAGCTGCAATCTCTCTCTCTCTCTCTCTCTCTCTCTCTCTCTCTCTCTCTCTCTCTCTCTCCCACACAAGCATGCATATGTACACGTAAACAGAAGAAGGCCGGCATATAATACAAACTGCACTAACTCCTGTCACAGGTCAGGTGTATCACCTTTTTATCAACTTTTTTCATCATCATTTCTTTTAAAAAACAGTAGGCGCTCTGTCTACACTATCACCTTGACAAGTGAACTTTAAAGTTAGGTTTTTTAGAATGCAAAGTGTGCCAGGAGCTCCCTGAAGAGCATTGTTAAAATATTTTAGCAGAATAATAGTAAAAGTGTACCACAGGAGCTGATGGAGGGCAAAGCCATCAAAACTAAAAGTACACAGAGCCCACTGATTAAAATCAAAACTGCAAAGTACGCTATGGATGATGATAAAGTATGGATGATAAATAAGTAATTTCTGTTGTTTGTGGCTGATAAAAATAAATCCAAAACATGTAATATATATATATCTGAATCAATGAATAGAAATTCTTCCATCTCGTATGTGTATGGGTAAGGTACGGTATATATATATACCGTACCTGGGGCGACAGAGCTTTCACCATTGCAGCCCCCTCCCTATGGAACTCCTTACCCATACACATCCGAGATTTCAGCGACATGGACTCTTTCAAAACTCATCTTTTTAAACTAGCTTTTAACATCAAATAATGTTATATTACACCTGCTGTTGTTTGTTATTTTGTTATTTATATGGTCGCCCCTTGCTCTTATTATTATATATATATATATATATATATATATAAATTTAGAGAGAGAGAGAGAGAGAAAATCTGCAATCTTAATATATCTGCACAAAAAAATTACTGGATCGATAGCCACAGTAACTTTCTATCCTTTTCTCCAAAAAATAAGCAGGTATTTCAGTGGGGGTGCCAGGGGGTTGAGTGAAGTGGCGTACAATAGAATTGAAAATAGACAGAAACTGAATAAGGGGTAGATGGAAAAAAGGAAGCAGGATATGAGTAAGGTTGAAAAGAGGCAGAGCAACAATTCAGTCATCAGACCTTTCCTCTTTAATCTCTAGCCTCCGAGTCCTCTGAGTGTCCAGGCTCAGAGTCACTACATTTTATGGACATCCTAAGCACTAGGGACACATATAGATTAGCCCTCAAGGGCAGTCTCACACTGAGCCCATTGGTACTGAGTGATTATAGATTCAGCTTGACAGTTCTGCCCCTGCTTCAACTAGGGATATCAGTAGAAAGGCACAATGCTGCTGGCTACCTGGCTTCCTAAAGTTACAGTCAAGACTATAGTAAATATTTCAACAAATGCTATCAACGGCATCATGAAGAAACCTTTATTCACTATTTACCCATTTTGCCAATTTTTGTTTGTCAGTAACACCCTGATTTACATTCAGATACAGGTAAAAACTTTTCCCCACTGGAAAAGCTCACTGCAAGCAGTCTTTTACTGTTTGCACTGTGCAGCTCCAGTTTAGGTGTAAAGTAGTTGGAGGGATGGGTGTTCGCTCTTCACTTGTCATTTTATTAGGCCTCAAGCCTGCTTCTGTAACTGCTGGGCCTGTGTCAGTTGCTTCCCATGTGGAAACAAGAGTCTGCAGCCACGCTAGCGGCTCACTGAGGCTGTGCTCAGGCATGGTGGTGCTTTGAGCTAAATGGTAACATCAGCATGCTAACATGCTAATATTTAGCAGGTAATGTTTTCCATGTTCGCTATCTAAGTTGACCTGACAATACACACTACATGTATAGTTAAGGGATCACAAAAGTTATTATTATGCAACTAGCATGCAAAAAATGATACCTTTATAAGGTAAAACAGGAAAACAGTATTATATAGCAAGATAAATACATGGCAAGTATTTTTTTCTGCATTGTATTGACTGTAGTGTCTATTCAAATGTATTGCTCACTTACTTATTCCAATAAAGTTGTATTCTTTTGTTTGTTTTTCTCTTCTCCATGGATGTCAGAATGTAAGGTCTGCAACAGAACAGTGCATCTTAGCTTGAATCAAAGCCATTATTCTTGCTGACACCCATCCTTTGATATTCATTATACTGTATGAACTGCTTTCATAGCGTCTTTCCTAGAAGAAGAAGAAAAGAAGAAGAAACTGTTTCATAATCTTTTTTTATATGAGTGCTTAACAGATTGTCAGACTGACGATACTGAACAGAGTTGGATGTAATTGTCTGTCAGTGGTTACAGCGCAGACTCTGACAGCGGTTCAGTCTTATTAGAAGGCATTTCAGTGACCTTTGCTGATGGAGATGATGAGCCTGTCACCAAAGATGAGTCCATATGGGAGCATGTCACACCAGTCGTGAAAGTAATGACGGCACGCATGCATGCAAATCTTGAATGTTCACTTGCAGCCACATATTTGGATGCGGATACTAATGCATGCACGCACATACTTACCCTCCTCTCAGTGAAATATATTGTTGCTGACAGTGATCAGTCCTGTGCTGGGATGAAAGTGTATTTAAATAAAGTGTGCGACACTCAAACAGCCCCCCTATATAGCATGGTGACGGTAAGACTAGAAGACATGGACACAGCATTGCGGGTAGGTTTCAGTGGATAGTTCAGTAGCTCAGTATGCATGCAGGTAGGTGTTGCTGTGCCAACAGGGACTTAATCAAGTGTCGCTGTGAGTGAGTGCAGGTATATTTATGTGTGCGAACCTATTTGTGTCTGTGTGAGAACATCTTGTTTTGTTGTATAGTGAATAAATCTCAAAGGTCTTTTCTACTGTCAGGGTATTTTATTTAAAGCAAGTTTGACTTTTTGGGAAATGTCTTGTCCATCCCTCCATCCACATTATATTTTTAATCCTTACCAAAAGTGTACAAACTGCCAAGTGCTGTTTTTTAACAGACGAGATGTAAGGGTGTTAATAAGTGAGTTTTAGAGATTCTTCTTGGCAGATTTCTATACCTTTAGACAGAGCCAGGCTGGCGGTCTCCCCCTGTTTTCATGCTATCTTTATGCTATGCTAGGCTAACAGGATGCTGGCTGTAGCTTCATACTTAACATACATAAATGATAGTGGTATCAATCTTCTCATCTAACTCTCTGCAAGAAAATGAAAAGGAATTTGTCCCAAAATGCACATGTGCAAGAACTGGCTTTGAAGTGCAGATATCTCGATACTGTCTTATTGATGACTGGCTCCCTGTGCCATCAATAAGTGAGATTGCAGTTTATGTAGCAAAGTGACCATGACTGCAAGCACAGGGCTGATCTTTTAGACCTGGACCAGTATGATATAGGAATTGACAGATACTCAAACATTCTGAGCTGCTCTGCTCTAGTCCAAGTAGGAAATCCTTTAGTCAGATTTTTTCTACACACAGAAGTAGCTCCTGTACAAGACTTTTCCCTCTGCATTTTTACCCCTTGAGAAACACCTGCAGGATTTTCTGATCAGGTCCTCTTGGATATAAAGCAACAGGGCTTCTGCTGTTGATTCTTCATTTTACAGTTCCTGAATTGGATCTCAGTGAATATTTAGCACATACAGTATTTATCTCAAACACAGCAACACAGCTTTCTTTCACAAAAACCTTGATGACCAATTATTTATTACCAGTATTACCCACTGTAAGGAATAAGATGCAAATAATAGGCAGGTTCAAATGACTGAAATACTTAAGGGTGCAGATTTCCAAACCTACCCCAATTTTATTTCAGTGTTTAGGCATTTCAGCTGTTTCATTCTTTCCAAATTGCTGGCGAAATGAAGTCCAACACTCCGGTCACCCTCCATTACCTTCTAGTCTGCTCTGCTGGGAGTTGTTTGAAACAGTAAAACCTGAGGTTGCAAGTGTAAATGCAGTTTTCAGTGTGCAGATAGAAATTTCATTTCTATTAGTATGTCACTACAGTACCACCCTGCACTCCTCCAGCACCCCTCCCTCAATATTTCTCTGTTGATTGCATTTACTTATTTGGATGTAATGGCCATGGCTTAGAAATATGCTATGCTGCAAGGAAAGCACTCAGCCTGGGTATTTGCTGTTATTATGTTTAACCACTCTGGGTGATTACTTACCTGGCAATTTCATGCGATTTCATACTTAATGCGACATTTTGGGAGAATTGACAAAATCTTTGATGTACACAATGTTAATTTTCTTTTACTCCAAGTAACATCCAATGAAATGAGCGTTCTGGTGGGTGTGGAGCCAGATTTTGGCGGTTCACTGCCAGTCACTCTGTCAAGTAGTCTCTCCAAGAATAATTTGCTGACTGGTGTAAATATCTTCTGCCTGCAATGGCCTTAATGCACATCAGGATTTGTTGGCTTAATTTAGCAGGCTTAAGTGTTTTGGGAGTCAGGGAGGGTAAAAGCTAGAGAAAAACTGTGAGACAATGTCACATTGTTTAGTCGTACAGTATGTTACTTTTATTATGAGCTTGTGATTCTGTATAGGGGAAATTAATCCAATTCAAACTGATCAAATCTACTTTATTGTCACCAACAAACGATCATGTACATACTGTAACTAAAAGAGGAAATTAATCCAGTTCAGTCTGATCAAATGTGGAATGAATTAACAAGAGGGTCAAAAATGTGTCCCCATACAGTTGCTGTTTCCAGTACTGGTTGAAGAGACACCAGCCCTGCATGGATTATCCTCTGGGCTCAGTGGAGACTCAGTCAGACCTAACACAGGTAGACCGCCACACTGAATATTTCCATTCTGATCCAGCCAATTTAACACTCGGTGTATCCCAACAGACAGGGGTCAAAGTAAAGAAGGCAGGCGATCGAAGGTTGTGGGTTTGTGCTTGTCATGGTCTAGCAGCTTCATTTCATCTTTTCCGAAGACATGCTTGCTTGGCCTGGTTATCCGCAGTGTTTGTGTGGCGAGAGAGACCAGTGTCAGGGCACATGAGCTGCATCTCCATGGTGACAACAGAAAGTAGCAGCTAGCATGTGAAAAGAAAGTGTGGCG